GAATACCTGGTCATGCCATTTGGTCTGTGCAATGCACCAGCCACATTTCAGCATTTCGTAAACGATATCTTTAGGGATTACCTGGACATTTTCGTTATCGTTTACCTGGACGATATACTGATTTTCTCATCCTCCCTGAAGGATCACAGGATACATGTGGCAAGGGTGTTGGGGCGGTTACGTCAGCATGGGTTATATGCCAAGGCAGATAAGTGTTGCTTTGAGCAACCTAGCATTACATTCCTGGGGTTGATTATCTCCACCGCGGGGGTCGCAATGGACCCTCAGAAAGTCTCCGGCGATTTTGGAGTGGCCGGTACCCGCGGACAAGAAAGGCGTCCAGCGGTTTATCGTTTTGCGAATTTCTACCGGAAGTTCATTAAGAACTTCTCGGGTCTGGTCTCCCCCATAACTCAGTTGACCAAGCTTGGAACTCGGTTCAGATGGACGCCGGAGGCTCAGGAAGCCTTTGAGGCCTTGAAGAAGCTCTTTACTTCGGCACCCATTCTGGGCCACCCGGACGCTGCCCTGCCATACATCTTGGAAGTAGACGCTTCAGAGAACGCGGTGGGGTCCATCCTGTCCCAGCGAAAGGGCACCAAAGAATTGCTCCATCCTGTAGCGTTCTTCTCAAGGAAACTTACCCCAGCAGAAAAGAACTACGATATCGGCGATCGAGAGTTGTTGGCCATCAAAACAGCTCTCGAAGAATGGAGGTACCTGCTAGAAGGTGCCTCGCACCCCATCTTGATCTTCACTGATCACAAGAATCTCGAGTACCTGAGGACCGCCAAACGCTTACGCCCACGACAGGCAAGATGGGCATTGTTCTTCTCCAGGTTCATTTTTCACATCACGTATAGGCCCGGATCTAAAAATATGAAACCTGATGCACTATCTCGCATGTTTGAAGACTCCAAAGAAGATCCGGTACCTGATACGATTCTGTCTGCAGGAAATTTCTTGGCGCTCCAGACGGACCTTCGGTCCAAACTATTGGAGGCATCCACGGCCGCGCGCGTCAGTCCCAGTTGGTGTGTCCCTCCAGAACAAGGGGGGACTCCTATGGAAGGATGGGTTGGTCATGGTCCCTGAAGAGGTCCGGACCCTTGTCCTGGGACATTGCCATGACCACCCGATGGCGGGACACTTTGGCCCAGCCAAGACCCTGGAGCTTCTCCAACGCTCTTTTTGGTGGCCAAGTATGGCCAAGGATTGTAAACTCTATGTAAGATCCTGTACCATCTGCCAGAAAAACAAGCCATCGAGGAACAAGGCTTGGGGACTGCTGCGTCCCTTGCCGATTCCTGAACGACCGTGGCAAGGGATCGCAATGGACTTTATAGTCGAGCTCCCACCGTCCCAAGAACACACCGCGATCTTCGTGGTCATCGATCGATTATCGAAAATGGCTCACTTTGTACCATTGAGGAAGACTCCGTCTGCATCCGAGACTGCGCGAATATTCATCCAGGAAATCGTAAGGTTACAATGGAAATTCCCGGAGGACATCGTCTCAGATCGTGGGGTCCAATTCACATCTAGATTTTGGAGGGCCCTGTGCAAGGCCCTGGATATCAAGTTGTCCCTCTCCTCTGCTTTCCACCCTCAGACCAACGGACAGACCGAGAGGACCAACCAGACCCTAGAACAATACTTGCGTTGCTACACATCCTTCCTTCAAGATAATTGGTTACCACTGTTACCTTTAGCGGAATTTGCATATAACAACGCAAGCCATTCAGCGACAGGGCAATCTCCGTTCTTCTCTAATTACGGATTTCACCCTGTCTTTCTTCCTGATTTGGTCTCTGAATGCCCAGTTCCGGCAACGCAAGACGCATTAAACTTCTTCTCCTCGAACAACAAAGTACTACGGGAAGCCCATCGCTCGGGCCCAGGAGGATAACAAGAATGCATATAACAAGAAACGAAGAGGGAATCTGGTGCTGAAGCCTGGGGATAAGGTCTGGTTGGCGACAACCAACTTGAGAATGCTTTGTCCCTCAAAGAAATTGGGACCTAAATTCGTGGGGCCTTTTTGTGTGAAGCGAATGGTCAACGAGGTGACATATGAACTTACCCTTCCTGAAACATTCAGAATTCACCCTGTTTTTCACGTGTCCTTACTTAAAACCTGTGATCCCGGATGCCTTCCCAGAACGTGAATCCAGACCTCCGGAAGCCATAACGGTGGAGGGACGAGAAGAATATGATCCTGAAGTGCTGAAGAAGGGGGGGGCCAGACCCAATTTCTTATAAAATGGACCCAATTTCTTATAAATGGAAGGGCTATGGCCCCGAGGACAATTCTTGGGAACCAGCCCATAATGTCCATGCACCCAGACTTGTCCCGGCGGTTTCTTCGTGACCACCCGTGGTGGAGAGATCGGGTGGGCATCCGGAGGTTGCCCCGTAGGGGGGGGGCAATGTCAGGGATCCCCTCGATCCCCGCCGCGATGGTCCCGGCGCAGGCGCAGTATGCCGCCCTGTGCAGGGACGCGGGCTCTAGGTCCAGGCCGGCCGCGGCGCGTGAGTTCGCGCATGCGCAATAGGAACCCGCGGCCGCCCGCTGGGCACCAATGGCAGCGCAGGGCGCGATATTTAAACGGCCCTGAGCTGTCATTCGGTGCCTTCTGGTCTTGTCCTTGCCCGGCTTGCCTGACCCTGCACTTGCTCCACCATCCATCCATCCATCCATTCCTCTCAGCGGGGTTCCTAGACCTCCTCATATCAGGCTCTCTCCCGTGGGAGCCCCTGGCGACCGCCCCTACCACTGACGGGTGTCCTCAGTAAGCACGACCTGGTCCCGGGGTACTCCAAGTCCATCCCCACCATCAGGGGCTCTGGTGAACAAGTACTCTGGGACTTAGACTCCGTGCGCTGGGGATGCCTGATTAGTGGAGTGCTAGTGGTGTCGCCAGGCGGTCCCTTACAACTCCGCTCTCCACGCCGGTTCCTGCTGTCTGACAGCTGCTCCTGCAATTACAGTTCTTATATACTGTCATGATGTCACAAGGGGCGTGATGTCATCATGCGCTGTGATTGGTCAAAGCAATACACCTGACCTTTGGTCAGGTGCATTACTTTGACCAATCACAGTGCACTGTCAGGGAGCAGTGCATTGTGGGGTGTGGCAGGCGAACAGCCCACTGAAAACCCATACCATGCGTGTGTTCAGTGAACACATGAACGACCCATGTTCGAGTCAAACTTGTGTTCGACTTGAACATACAGCCCATCCCTACTAGGTACATTAATTATGCCTCTAAAAAAACCTGAAAGTGCTGGTTGGATTTTGGGCCTCAGTAAGTGGTTAGGCTGTGAAAAAGTCCCATACATGTGGTATCCCCATATTTGGGAACAATAACAGAATGTTTTCTTTTGGGGGGGGGGTTATACTGTGTGTGAGGATTAGCTTGTTAATGACAACTTTGTGAACAAAAAAAATACATGTTGTTAAATTTCTTCATTTTCCAATATATTGTGGTAAAAATTATAACTTAAAAAAAAAATCAGCATGCCTTTTACTAAATACCTCAGACTGTCTACTTTCCAAAATGGGGGTATTTGTACTTTTCTAGCATTTTTGGGCCTCCAGAAATGATAGGCAGTCAGATAATCAGTTTTGATCAATTTTCGAATACACTGTATATACTGTATGTATGATAGTTTGTAGAATCTACAGCTGTGCACTGATTTTACCAGAGAAATGGAGCAGAATACATTTGTGAAGCAAGATTATTTATTTACAAAGTTGTCTAAGAGAAACTAAGAAAAATGCTTCTCTTCCAAAATGTTCCCTTTGTTTAGCAAACAAAAAAAAAAAAAAATGTGATAAAATGCCACCAAAAGAAAGCTCCATCTGTCTCAAAAAAAAATAATAATAATAATTTGGGCACAGTGTTTTGTGAGTAACTATCAAAGTGTGACTATGGTGAAATCTGAAACATAACCTGGGCAGGACGGGGGGGTGAAACAGTCCCATCTTCAAGAGGTTAATCAGGGATAATAGGGCTGAATGATGTGCCTAAGGCTGGCCATACACTATACAATTTTCTGTCCAATTTCTGCCCAATTTCTCTTAGATTTAAGTTCAACTATGTAGTGCAAGAGCCCGCCTAATTGGATACAATTGAAAGTGTTATTAGTTTTGACCTCCTATTATATGGTTTTTGGTAAAACTAAACCAAAAATCTCAAGAAAATTGTATAATGTATGGCCAGCCTTAATGTCATCATCTCTGAGGATAGAGGAGAGCAGTGAATGTGAGTGATATAATAAGAGGTGGGTTATATGCTCATTGCTCTTGCACTTAGTTATATTTTTCTTTCAAAAGATGCTGCCATGTGCTATGAACAAAAGGCAGCTCCAAGAACACTCAAGTGCAAGGTCAGGGAAATCACGGCTCCACACTGAGCACACCAAGCTTACAAAAGCCCTATCAACATAAAATAAAAATGTAAAAAACTGCAAAGGAAATAAAAACCTTAAAATATCACTCTAAAACAAAGGCCCACTTTTTAATGGGATGCCATGTATTAACAAAATAAAATAACAGTTTATCGTAAAATAACAGCCCTGTAAAAAAAAATAAAATAAATACAGTAACCTCCCTAGCGGCCTGATTATGTCAGTATTTCTGTGCTCAAAGCGGTACATTTTTTTTGCATGGAAATATGTTGTTTTTTTTTTATTGTCAGCCTGTAATTTTTAGGAATAACTCACTGAAATCTGTCCGAACAAGAGTCTAGTAAACATCCCCGGGTATGATAAAATTTGAAACACAAAATCATAAATTATAATTTATTAAATAATCATAAAAAAATAATAATATAATAATAATAATAATAATAATAATAATAAATTTAATTCAATAATATTATCAAACCAAAAACACTGAAATGTGAAATATAGCGCCAAGTTCACACATCGCTGAGCTCAGTCGCAGAATCGTTTTCAGTGTCTGATGAGGAATTTCCCCCACGAATCATTATCACTCAATTCTGCAAGTGGTTCTGATTTACTATCGCTGTTCTCTAGCCGGTCTAAAACCGCTTTTGACCTAAAGGGACGCTTTTTGGACGTCATGGACGTTTTCTCAGTTTCCAGGCAGAAAGAACAGTAAAAATGCAGGCAGGGCGCCGGACAAAGCACTCGGGACAAAATGTATGTGAAATGGTTTGATACAGGAATGGAATACTATCAGATTTTACTGTATTTAGTGAATGTCACTTTTACAACTTTCAAATTTCCCTCCAGTTCCATCCCCCGTACGTCCTGACGTTGCAGGGGATGGAAGCAAGAAGACGGATACCGGCATCGGCTGGAGGACATTACAGGGAACACTGCAGGAGGGACATCGCGGGAGTGCAGGACAAGGTAAGAGAAGAACAGATCCTAGAGCAACTCTGCAGGATATTCCTGAGTGTAGTTCAGGGTTACCGCTTGTGGTACTGAAACTTTACCCCGAGCTACACTCGGGAATACAGCCAGGGAGGTTAAAAAACACAAAAATAAATGAAAAACCCTAAAATACCTCCCCTGAAAAAAGCCCATTTTTTGTTAAAGAGAATAATGATGAGCAGAAAATGCCTGGGTATTGTTCAAGCATTGTTCGGAGAAGATGTTTTAGATAGTTTCTGAGCTAATAGACAAGGAATTGTCAAACAAATAGCATGGGGACTGGGCTCTTGTACTGGTTGTAAACCCTTACATATACCAAGTGAAGTGACCAGCCTCAGGTGATACAAGAATTCCAAATCCTCCTATAAAAGTTGTAGCTGTTTATCTGCGGCCCTCTCTCCTCTACAGCCATTTAAAGTGCAGAATTCACACAGCTCTTCTGAGCTTCAAGAAGGCAGGAGGTAGAGATCTGATGTCATGCACTGTACACCTCAGGCAGGAGAGCTGAGTATAATCTGAGCTCTGAGTGAAGAAAATGGACACACCGCTCTGCACAATCTCATAGGGAAACATGCACAGCTGAGGAAGTCAATCACAGGCTGTGATCACAAGCCCCTCCCCTGTCACCTGTGATTTCTTGGAGTCAGGAAAACCTGCTGGAAATGACTCAAACTCAGTACTTTGGATATAGGCAAGTAGACACTATAGAATGATATGCTTTGTTCATTTTTCATGGTCCAGGTTTACAACCACTTAACATGTTATTTGTCTGAAAGCATTGATTTTCGTAACACTTAAAGTGAAAGATTTAAAATGCAAAGTTTCATTAAATATCATGCCTGGGGGATGTCCTGACCCTGCCTGTGAAGAGGCTCATGTGTATGATGTATACAACCTACTACAGCAACACTGACATACTGTATACAAAGAAAAATGAGTTTAAACTGCTGGCAAAATAACAGTTCCCAGCCTCTTTGTTCTGTTTGTAAACAAAGCAGCCGGGATTCCATTCATCTATGCCAGACTCTTATCCTAGATGTGGGAATGGTGTGGATGTTAATGTGTTAATGGTAGACCCCCACAAAAAAAGGCTTAAGGTGCCTCCCAATGAACACCAGGACCTTCCAATCAGACTTTTTCTTTCACAGGTGGGCACATGTCAGGCATCACTTTTTTTATATAATAAAAACAGTGTCTTTGAATTTTTTTTACACTTTACATTTTTTTAATACATCACTAGGAGTATTATGTACATTTATTCATTCATATGAGGATGCAGTATCTGTTTGCTCCATATTGTGGAAGGGGGCTTCCAAATTCCAATAAGTCTCTGCCTGCAGACTCTAAAACCACAGGGATAGGAAAGAGGCCCTTGTTCTCATCAACAATGGGAAGAAGGTGCTTTGCCAGGGAAGGGGTCAAACCTCGTAATGTGCCACCTCATGTTGAGGGCATGTGGCTTCCTGTCAATGGCTGACCAACACCCAGACCATCTCCATTTTATTCCAGTAACAGAATGGGAAGTCCCTGTACTGCTGCCAGAGCTGATATTGCATACAGTCTATACAGTGATGTAAGAGTGGCCAGCTTGGTCAACAAACGAAAGTTAAATGAAACCTGGAGGTAGGCTTTAAATGGTGAAGACTAATGGAGCCTGCATTCCTGGAATGGAGAGAACTGGGCCACTGAAAGGGTTTGTATACTGTTTTATCTATTACAGAAAATACCTTTTTGGCTTATTTAGAGACTCTACAGGTATACTCTATGTAACTATGCAAGACTTATTTTAGGACATTAGGTTTTTAGACATTTATTGAATATTTCAGATCCCCCAAGAGATACAATGACTGACTGTTTGTCACATGCTTATTCATCAGCTTACACAAGTGGCACTTGGAGTAATTCCAGCTGTAACGGTCTGAAAAACAAGTTTTATCATTGTAACCAAATGTACAGAAGTGTGAGATATCATCGACATTCATCCTGATATGAGTAGAATTCATCCAATTCTGATGACAGCTCATATCCTTCTACTGAAAAAGATCCGTCATTCTCAGTTTCATTAATTGATTCTTCTTTCATTGCTCGCTGCTCAGCCTGCAGGATGGAAGTCCGTCTACTTTTACCTCTCCTCCTTCTACATGGGGTCACCTTGTTCTGTGCAGTGGATGGAGACAATATGACGGAGGGTGAGTACCCAGTGGTGACAGATCTATAATCAACCAACAGCTATGCAAAATGAAGACCCTCATAGAGAATCCATTCACACACCATTTCCAGACAGATAGACCACCACATTACACAGGGGTTGGTAAAATGGTTGGGAAGTCAGGTCACATCTAAAACTAAATCTTAATGTATGTGACCAGCATGATTCATAAAGTCCATGGGAAGACACAAGAAGGTGTTGAGAAGATCAGATCTTCCTTACAAGGTTCCAAGCTATAAGTGCAATTACAATATGATCCGTATCCAATCAGATTTATAGTTATAGATTTGTTATATTACCATAGAGCTTTGGGGTTTTATTGCATTCTCTAATTTTCCAGCATCAGATATACTAATGAAGAAGGATCTTCTCAAAGCTTCGAAGGGACATTTCCAAAGACTGATGTACAAGGAACAGGGAGGATTTAAGTTTGGTTGTGCAATAGGTTCAGACAAATTGATTGTGAGACTGAAGTTCCATTTATGTTTCCACCAATCGCTGAATATAGTTGCATAGTTAGTCAGGTTGAAAAAAAGACTCAAGTCCATATACATTCAGCAATAAAATAAATACATAAATAAATTTCATATACAGAACCCAATATCCACAGCTGATCCAGAGGAAGGCCCAAAAAAACTATATAAAGCATGATCCAATCTGTTCCAGCGTCAAAAAGTCAATCAATTATTTAGATATTTCCTGGATCAACAAGCCCTGGTGTTATTATTTATAATATTCCAGGTAAATTTTGTGCAATTAGGAATGCATCCAGCTCTTTTTTTTTTAATCAATCTACTTAACTTTGGGGTACACCACTAATAATACTGATCCTTGGGGTACACCGCTAAAAACACTGATCCTTGGGGTACACCGTAAAAACACTGATCCTTTGGGTACATCACTAATAACACTGATCCTTGGGGTACACCACTAATAACATTTAACCTTGGGATACACCAGTAATAACACTGATCCTTGGGGTACATCACTAATAAAACTGATCATTGGGGTACATCAATAATAACACTGAACCTTGGGGTATACTACTAATAACACTGATCCTTGGGGTACACAATTAATAACACTGATCCTTGGGGTACACCACTAATAACACTGATCCTTGGGGTACACCACTAATAACACTGATCCTTGGGGTACACCACTAATAACACTGATCCTTGGGGTACACCACTAATAACACCGATCCTTGGGGTACACCACTAATAACACTGATTCTTAGGGTACACCACTAATAATACTGATCCTTGGAGTACATCACTAATAACACTGATCCTTGGGTACACCACTAATAACACTGATCCTTGGGGTACACCACTAATAACACTGAACCTTGGGGTACACCACCAATAACACTGATCCTTGGGGTACACCACTAATAACACTGATCCTTGGGGTACATCACTAATAACACTGATCCTTGGGGTACATTACTAATAATACTGATCTTTAGGGTACACCACTTATAATACTGATCCTTGGGGTACATCACTAATAACACTGATCTTTAGGGTACACCACTTATAATACTGATCCTTGGGGTACACCACTAATAACACTGAACCTTGGGGGTACACCACTAATAACACTGATCCTTGGGGTACACCACTAATAACACTGAACCTTGGGGTACATCACTAATAACACTGATCCTTGGGGTACCCCACTAATAACACTGATCATTGGGGTACACCACTAATAATACTGATCCTTGGAGTACACCACTAATAACACTGATCCTTGGGGTACACCACTAATAACACTGATCCTTGAGGTACACCACTAATAACACTGATCCTTGGGGTACACTACTAATAATACTGATCCTTGGGGTACACCACTAATAACACTGATGACCTTGGGGTACACCACTAATAACACTGATCCTTGGGGTACACCACTAATAACACTGAACCTTGGGGTACACCACTAATAACACTGATCCTTGGGGTACACCACTAATAACACTGATCCTTGGGGTACATCACTAATAACACTGATCCTTAGGGTACACCACTAATAACACTGCTCCTTGGGGTACATCACTAATAACACTGATCCTTGGGGTACATTACTAATAACACTGATCTTTAGGGTACACCACTTATAATACTGATCCTTGGGGTACATCACTAATAACACTGATCTTTAGGGTACACCACTTATAATACTGATCCTTGGGGTACACCTCTAATAACACTGATCCTTGGGATACACCACTAATAACACTGAACCTTGGGGTACACCACTAATAACACTCATCCTTGGGGTACACCACTAATAACACTGATCCTTGGGGTACACCACTAATAACACTGATCCTTGGGGTACACCACTAATAACACTGATCATCGGGGTACACCACTAATAACACTGAACCTTGGGGTACATCACTAATAACACTGATCCTTGGGGTACCCCACTAATAACACTGATCCTTGGGGTACCCCACTAATAACACTGATCCTTGGAGTACACCACTAATACACTGATCCTTGGGGTACACCACTAATAACACTGATCCTTGAGGTACACCACTAATAAACACTGATCCTTGGGGTACACTACTAATAATACTGATCCTTGGGGTACACCACTAATAACACTGATCCTTGGGGTACACCACTAATAACACTGATCCTTAGGGTACACTACTAATAATACTGATCCTTGGGGTACACCACTAATAACACTGATCCTTGGAGTACATCACTAATAACACTGATCCTT